CGGGGGGGGGGGCTGTTATTTTTCGACCTGGGTGTACAAATCGTGAACAAAAATGGAGTAAATGATCCAAACTCTTCCAGGTGTACCTTTTCCTAATAATGCGAGTGAATAATTGAATCATTAGAAATCGTTCTAAGGCTCTTTTTTGTTTGCATCATACATTTAAAGTAGTAGAGGAGTACAAGCTGGGACAGAACTATAATTCTATAAGATGTATGCCAGGAAAAAGAAAAAATGATATTAGTTTTTAACATTGCCAATTTTGGACTAAAACACGTCGTATTAATCTATCGGATACTGTGGTTATTTTTTAGTTTAGTTTTTTTTTCAGTTCTTTAACAGTCATTTTTTATTACTAACAAAACAACTAAAGCAACAAAGAAAACACACATTATTTACTATTTTGAAGAAGGATAACCGGGGGTGAAAAGAGTTGATTTATACAACTCCATTGATTTCAGCAACGTCCCACATAGACTGAAGTAGCCTCATTACTTTTTACTATGCGCTCTATTCATCGTTGCCACTGTTATTCTCCGCCACTCCTCCCTACAGTATCATGACCTCACGAGTTGTGCAGATCAATTTTACACAATGTCAAGGCCGTCATGCTCGTATTTACCAAAGTTTTCAAAAAAATGTTATACTCTCCTTAAAGCTGTAATGTAGACTTTATGAATGAACAACTACTTGAACGAAATGCACAGCTACAATGCAGTGACTAGTAATCTTTTTCCTAGACAAGCCCCGTGATTTAAACGAATTGAACGGCGCAAATAAAGAGAGAAAGGGGGAGTGGAGAGAGAGTCCGAACAGAATGGCCTTCTGATCAAAATAAAAGGTCAAACAAAATGAAAACAATGTGCTGCGTCCAGGTCAGTTTCGAAACTTAAAAGTTTCGACGTCCATACTGTACAGAAGTTACAGCGTCTACTGTAGAGCACGTAACCACCCAGGCAATAAACAACCCACAGAGATGTCACTTGGCGCTTCGGCTGAAGAAAAATTGGTCTGGCAACCTTTTCTTTCTCCAGACCCAAGAATCATCTTTGATTATTGGAAAATAGCGCCCTTTTGACACTCGCTTATGAAAGCGCTGGATAAATTAACGAATGTTTGCACTGAATGGAGAATGATTCTTCGTACTGAACACGGGACATCGTCATCATGGGGAACAGTGGTGGGCGTGTACTGGCTTCAGAGTACATGTACTGCCGTACAGTACTGTTATTATCGAATAAACCGTTCTACGAGCACGAGTGCTACAGCCAAACGATGGGTGATTGACTGGCTGTGGGGTACACTGACTAGCTTTACTTTGTATCTATTTTTTCTTTTTTTTCGTTAGTTTCATTTTACTTCCTGTCAAAACCCGTCTAGGGACAGAGAGACGACTTCACACTCTCGATGGGGACTCTGAAATGAATCTTTG